CCCGGGAGCCAGCGGCAGTGGGGCAACCCTAGGGCCCGGCCTCTGCTGCAAGCAGCTGCCCCCTCCCCGGCAGTGGGGCCTGCGGGGCACTGATGGTTGGGGCAGGGGCACAGGGAGCCGTGAACAAACAACCAAAAAAGTTGTTTTTTGTTTTTTTTTAAATAAAATAAAAAATTAAAAAGTTCTTTATTGGATCCAGCATGGTCCTTCCCCGCAGGGTGCGGGGCAGCGCCAGGCCGGCGAGCTCCCAGCAGGGCACTGCAGAGCGCCAGGAGGAGGCAGTACCCTTATGGGCTGGGTCAGGTCAGGTCAGGTCAGGGCGGGGCGGGGGGCAGCTGCCTATGGCCAAGGATGGGGACCCGGGGCTGTGCCAGGCTGGGGGGATGCAGTCCTGGCATTCCCGGGTTGGGGGCTCCACATTCGTGTGACAGGTAAGCCCAGGAGGAGGTGGGGGCACAGTGAGGCGAGTGTCTGTGGGCGGCGGGGGCGGCCGGGGCCCCCGCACCTCACTGAGCAGCACTCGAAGTGGTTTTCTTCAGGGTGAAGTTGGTCCAGTTCACAGCCACCTTCTGCCGGGTTTGCTTCGCCGAGTCCAGACAGAACCTGAGGGTGGGGGCAACATGAGGAAGGGGCGGCCGGGGGGTCACCCCCACCCCCGACCGCTAGAGCCCAGCTGCAGGCCTGATCCCCCCCAGCCAGGCCTCCACCCTGCCTCCAGCACCCCCTGCCCTGGGCCACCTCACCTCTTGAAATACTCCACTTCTCGGTCTGTCTCGTCCATCTCCACCCCATCCACATCCTTGGGCAGAAACACATCATCTGCAGGAGCAAAGCAGCACTAGGTCAGGGGCAGCACCCAGACAGCTTTCCCCCCGGGCAGGGTCAGCCCTGGCAGCGTGGGGGAGCAGGGGCACTGCCCCAACAGGGAGCTGCTGCCAGGCAGCGGGTACACAGGCTGACCCAGGGCATGGCTTGGGGAGCAGAGCCTGAGCCCCTGCCAGACCAGGGGGCTGGCCATGCGGGCTGCGGCTAGGCACAGGCACGGGACAGGCGGGCAGGGAGGGCCCTGCACACTCACCGATGGACGGGTTGGCCTTGTCTGCCTTGTTCCTGCTCTTCCGGCTCTTGCCCTTGGGCTGGGGGGAGCTGGCCAGGGCAGGGGGCTGGGCGGTCTGCCGGTCCCCAGCGATCGCAGGGGGCAGCTGCATGGGCTCTGACTGCTCGGCCCTGCCCTCACCCCTCCGGCCTTTCCGCTCACTGGTCCGCTCCTCGGGCCGGGGGCCGCCACAGCCCCAGCCCTGCCCCTTGCCGACCTCGCCTGGCTCCACGCTGCCGCCCCACAGGAGCTCAGAGACGGTGCTGGGTTTCGAAGGGTGCTTGGCTCCCAGCACCTGCCCCTTCGTGCCAGGGCTGTCCAGCTGGGCTGGGCCCCCCAGTACTGCCGTACCATCCCCCTTCCTCCCCAGGCCGCTCTGCCGCTTGCTTTTCCTCTGCTTGCCCCCAGCAGGTGCTGGCTCCAGTGGCTCTGGCCCCTTGGGCTCTGGGCCAGACCCGCTGCTCTCCTGGCCAGAGTCCATCGCCTTGGGGGACTGGACCCAGATCATGCGGGACAGGCTGGGCACAGCACTCAGGCGCCGCACCACGCCATTCTCAGTGGCCTCACCCGGGTGCTCGCCCCACCGGGGGCCTGGCTCGTGACCCAGCACAGGGCCCAGGCTGAGCGGTGCCAGGTCGAGGCCGATGTCGGGTGGGTCGGCAGAGCCGTTGAGGTGGGCAAGCAGGCCCTTCTGCTCCAGCACAGCCGCCTTCTTGGGAAAGTCATCCACGTCCAGGTTGAGGTCGTAGACGCTGAAGCTGGCGCGGATGGAGTCCTTGATCTCCTGCAGCCGGCTGCTCAGGAAGCTGTTCACCCTCTCCAGCTCCAGCTCTGGCCACTCCAGCAGCTCATCCTCCGGCCCAGCCAGGGGCCTGCGCTCCACCCGCTTCTGTGCCTCCGCCTCCAGCTGCGCCTTCTCCTTCTCCTGCAGCACAGGGCAGGCAACGCCGGGGTCAGGGCCAGAGGCACAGAGGGTGGCTATGCCCAGGGGACACGGATTGGCCTCAGGCCGCAGCAAGGCAAGCGCAGGGCTCAGCACCAGGTGAGCCACTCAGGGGCCTCCCTCTCCCTGGTGCTCGTGGCCTCTGCACGGCTGCCTACCAGCTCATGCTTGGCACTACAGTCACTGTGCTGGACTGGAGCCAACAGTGTGGGCTGCATGAGACCTGTGCCCTAGCAGCCGGCCACAGCCATGTGCATGTGCCCAGGCCAGGCCCGGCGCGGGTCCTGTCCGCAGAGCCAGGCGAGGTGGACCACGCCATGAGGCACGGGCAGAGCCAGAGACAGGACCTCCCCAGCCAGCCTCACCTTCTTCTTCTGCTTGTGCCGTGCCCGCTTGGCGGCCTTGGCACTGTTCAGGGGCTTGGGCTCCGTGCTGTTGATGTAGTCCAGGAGCTCGTCCACATCACGGTGGTCCACGGCCGGCTCCCCCGCACCACTGCCCGGGCCCAGCTTCTGCGGCAGCTCCTCCTTGCGCTTGGTGAGGCGGGAGCGCAGCTTCTCCCGGATCTCTGCGTAGTTCCGGCTCGTTGGGGCTGCTGGGGGCTGCAGGGGGAACCCACAGCGGTGAGCCCCAGACAGGGGTAGGAACGCACACTGCACAGCTGGCCACAGAGCCCAGTCCAAGCCCCTCGCACACCCAGCCCCTCCACAAGCATAGCAAGTTTGCCAGGTCAGTGGGGCTGTCACAGACCCCTGCTCCACCAAGGCTGCTCAGAGCTCAGCTGAGGAGACACTGGGGGCTGGGACACCCCTGATCCAGAGAGCAGAGATGGGGTACCAGGTTGGAGGTGCAGCAGCAGGGCAGTGTTGGGGAGCGGACAGGCCTTTTCAGGCAGGGCGCGGGGGTGGAGGGGCACGCGGAAGCCAGGCCAGCAGGCAGGCGAGCAGCAGGGCAGAGTTTGCCCAGCTCATGACCCTCCAGGCACCCCCAAGGCAGGGCAGGGCTGGGCGCAGCCACACTCACCGCATTGTGGCCGAAGAACTCGCAGTAGCAGCAGTCGCAGAACTTCCCGTCCTTCTGGGTGGTGGAAGATGAGGTGCAGGAGCTGCGTTCGGAGCTGCTGTCCTCGTCCTCGCCCAGGCCCTCGTCTGCCTCACACGACTGGGGCGGGTGGCACCCGGCACCATTTGTGAACTTGTGCCCTTTGCACGAGGAGTCCCTGAGGGAGCAGGTGGGTGAGGGAGACCCTGGGAACAGCAGCAGGGGTCATGCTCCCTCCCCACATAACCAAGTGCTCATGAGCTGCTCCCATGTCCAGGACTTGCTCACCTGTTGGCGCTGGGCAGTGGGTGGGGGGTGGCTGGCGGGATCAGGGCACCGCTGCAGTGTCCGTTGCAGGGGTGGGAGCAGCCGGAGAGCGGTGGTGGCATTTTCAGAAGTGGCACGTTGGCGGGGGGCAGGTGCGGGCTCTTGTAGGACCCCTGGCCGTGCACAACGGGGCCCGCAGAGGCTGGCTCGGCCACTGGCTTGGGGGCAGGCACGGGGAAGGGCGGTGCTGGTGGGGCAGTGCCCAGGGGGACGTGCGGCAGAGGGCCGAAGGGGCCTGGGTGGGCAGGCGGCTGCTTGGCAGGCGCCAGAGCGGGGGGCTGGGTGGGGAGGCCGGTGGGGCTGTTGGGTGGAGCGGTGAGGTCCGAGTGCCGGTGGTGCTCTGGGGCATGGAAGGCTTCGCCTGCGGGTGAATGGGGAGAATCAGCCCACAGCACGAGGCATGTGCTCATCTGTGCATATACACGCCCCCTGGGCCACACCACACCCCACGCCAGCTCCCCACTCCCATTCTGCCTCCGCAGCCAGTCGTCGTCCCCCCCCGCAGCTAGCTCTGCACTCTAGGCTGCAGTGGTATGGACAGGGTGGCCTGGCCAGGGGCTCTTGGACTGAGACGGAGCAGCCCAGCACTGCGGAGGGCACGGGCAGGTCCTGCACAGCCTGCTGGCCCGGCTACGGCCACTCTGCTCCCTGCCAAGGCAGTCCTTCGCCCTGGGGGGTGAAGCATCCCTGGGAAGCACATGCACCCACCTGGTGGGGTGGGTCTCCGGCACATGCTCTTGAACTGTTTGGGCAGCGCCTTGCAGAAGTCGAGTGAGGTAGGCAGAGGCGTGCCTGGGGCAGCACCGCCGGGGGCTGGGGAGACCGCATGGCTGTAGGGACAGGCCTTGAGCCCTGGTGCCACTGTGGGGGCCTGGCTAACGCACTCTGCAGACAGGGCCAGGCCCGTGTGCTTCTCACCTGGAACAGAGTCAGCTCTAGACATGGCTCCGGCCAGGGCCAGGCCGCGGTCTCCAGCTGCTGCTCTCTGCGTTCCCCATGAAGCGCAGGGCACTGGGAGGGGCAGTGCCGAGCAAGCAGACGGCCGGACACCCTGTCCCCGGCAGCCAGGACTCACCTAGCACGGTGGGGGGCCCCGCAGGGCTGCCCTGCGCAGCTCCATTGGCGTGTGGGGAGTTCCAGAGGCCCGAGAGCTTGTGGGCGGACAAGAAGGAGCTGGGGTCCCAGTCCCCCGAGTTCCCGTGGCACGAGGACGATGACGATGAGGACGAGGACGAGGAGTGGGAGCCACCACCGCAGGACTGTGCCTTGCAGGACGTGCGTGACAAGGAGACCTGCGGTGACATGCATCGTGAGAGGGCTGCGCAGGCTCCCTGGGCAGGGATGCCTGCAGGCACCGCGCCCTAGCACAACCCTGAGCCAAGGCTGCTGCTGCCCCATCCCCAACCCTCAGCTAGGACCCTCGCTCCGAAGCCACCTGCAGACCTCGGGGGATGCCCACCCGACAGCAGTGCCCGCCCAACACCTACCGCCAGTGCCTGCTCCTGCACCGCCCGCCGCTCCTCTTCCTCCACGCTCTTGCGGCAGCTCTGGCAGATCCACAGCGGCATCTCCCCCAGCAGGTTCTGCACCAGGGCTGGCACGAAATCTGGGGGCAGCCGCTCGCCCGGGGACACCAGCCCATTGTGGGACGGGCCACCCCAGTCCTTGCGCTCCCGGTGGCAGAGAAGGCAGCACGTCTGCACCGACTGGCTGGCGGTGGGCAGCACCTGTGCGGGGACACGTGGCATCACTCGCCGTGCGGGGCAGGCCCAGCCATGCGCAGGGCTGAACCCTTGGCACCCGGGGGCCTGAATGGCCCTGCCCACCCCTTCCCAAGCCAGCTCGTGGCTGCCTGCTGACAACACCCACCTCCTGCCGCGTGCAGAGCAGCCAGCAGGTGCCCGAGCACAAGGCGTGACCCCAGGGGTGCCTACGATGCCGGGAGAGGGGGCGCGGAGGGAATCCCAGGTGTGGACAGGCTGCCTAGACCCCTTGCCAGCCCCAGCCCCAACCCCCGCCCCACGCATCCCGCTGGCAACAGCCTGGGTCGCAGCCTTTGTTCAGAAGACGGAGAAGCACGGCGGCGGGAGGCAGAGCAGGGTGCAGCCCCACGCTCGGCGTCCCCCTGCGTGGCCTGGCGCAGCTGGGGACAGCCTGCCGGCCACGGAGCGGGAGCCGGGCGGCTGCTGGGGGGTCCCATTGTCTGCCCAGAGCGGTGGTGGCCGCTGAGCAGATGGCGGCTCCCCGCCTCAAGGTGAAGCGGAGGTCAGAGGCTACAAGGAGGGAGCAGGCGGCAAAGCCTGGCCCTCGGGGCTGCGGGGGGGAAAGGGCCCTCCCCAGCGCGCCAGCATCGTGCCCAGCGCAGGCGGCACCAGGAAGCTGCGGAGCAGCGAGCGTGGGACGCTGCCAGGGCCCCCGCGCTGCACGGAGCCGGCAGCCCAGCCCGCACCTGCTGCCCCCG